ACATAGTTGACTAAACCACCAGGCGTCGAACATACATGTACAAGTATTTTCAGTGTTTCTGTTTTTATATGCCTGAGCTCTAGGAGCTTTAGTTTTATCACGGGATATTCTGTGCGGTCAATAATAATCCAAGTCGTAGGAAACTTTAATTTAAAGTTGGATGGCGAAAAATGCCTGACTAAACCACTAGATGGCCAAGTGTTAGCCTCACACCACTGTTTAGGCATAAAAACAATCCATGTATACACAATATTCTCAACACTAGATTCAATCTAGAATCTAGAAAGTTCAAAGTTGGTTGTATAATGCCTCAATTTCATTAAAGTCATAAAAAAACTGATTTTCAACTGACACCCTATCAATTTGAAAATATATGTATCTCAAACAATGTGCTGTTGGACCAAGTGTGGTCAAAACAAATAAAAATTTAGTATGCAACTCTAAACTGGTATAAAAATGCATGGCTGTGTCATGTGTCTTCATTTCAAAATTCTCTGCTTAAAACATAGACATTGATGGTGTTTGCGTAATTCCATCTTTGAAGCTCAACATTAGCTCAGCAGTTGGTGGTGGACAGTCATAAATCCTTTCTGTAGTATGAATGACTTCTTCAGGAAAACCAACTTTACAATCAAAACTTTCCTCTAGATTTCTACTACAATATTCATCAAGTTTAGTTCTTTTGTTTTCACAGGAAACTGCCCTGATTTTTCTTTTTGCGGACGATTCAGTCTCTTGCTTGGTCCAGGAAAATAGGCTGGGAATGGCAGTAGACTTAAGTCTCTGTATGGTGGGTTTGCGCCCTGAAAAAGGTTATAAAACATTAGTTTTTTGATAATTAAATGAACTTCCATTAGCAATGTATACTTTGTATTACCTGGCGAAATATTAACTAAGATTTATTCATTACAATCTGGATAAAACTATGTTTGCCTGATTCAATGTATGTTATGTAAATCCAAAGGACAAACAATGAGATACTTATGCAACAAACGTACATTGTTTGTACCTAAATAAATATAATATTGATGAGAGCATGTCATTGTTTTGTTCCTGTTAACATTGTCATTGATATTTTTCAAGAAAGTCTATGAGGCATAGCTTATGCATTCCTGTCATTACTACATTAGCATTATTACTGCTAAAATAATTCTCAGTATGATATACCTCTTGTAAGAAATCATTATAACTGTAGCAATCACCAAAAAATCTCAAACAGATCACATTGAATCGTAATCCAAAAAATTATGACGTCTTGAATTAACCACCCCCTTTTATTCTAAAACGATAATTGCGGTTGTAAACAGACTTTGGTTTATTCGCATGGCGATTACATATATAACTATATATTTCAAAAAGAAAATAGAGTTTTACCATGAACAGTTTCCTGCACGTAGTCTTTTTCAGTAAAATGTGCCTTGCAAACAACAGCTGATTGAGATGGACTCCACGATGAAATCGTGTTCTCGTCCAATCTGCGTTTGGGCCATGGTGTTGATCCAACTTTTCCTTCTTTTTAAGTCATTTGGAAATGCATGTCCTCCTCTTAAATGACATCCAGGTACACAACAACAAGTACTTGGCATCGTTAATTTAAAATGTAACTGAAATAGTTGCACAGTGCAGAAACCGGAAGTTGAGGAACAGGATCGGCTACCACGGCGCCACCTATTCAGGAACGATAATTTGCTACTTTATATAACTGCGAAATAACAATAACGTTAGACGGGTTCACGTGCATAAACAGAAATGCGCTTTAAATTGTATAATATAATTAATGTTCAGTCGACTCTTAATTATTATATCAACGACTGAAATGATTTATAAACATCTAGATAGCAGATAACACTCGAAATTAACCCAAGCTCTTTCCACACGGAATTCAAATAATTCTAGTTTGTCAATCGGTTAACTGCTTATAATGCAAAATACAAATATATCAAAAGTTTTTAAAACTAACAAAACACAATGATCGTTTCTCTATTTCCCAATGTAAATGAAAGGAAACAAAAAACATTTTATATCACAATAAGAAGAGGAGAGAATTCAACATTTACGGATCTACTTGGAGCCTAATGACCCCCCACGTAGATAAGTTGGATATCGCGGAAGGAAGGATTAACCCGGCAACTAGAAAGGCATTAAAGCACTGCCTTTAAAAAAACCTAATTTAAAGGCAATAACTCCTATAAAGAGTAACAGTCTACTAATTGTATCGTCAAAATTTGACTTGTTAGTAGGTCTTGTCTTGCTGATTATTTTTGATTATTGTAGTTTCTATCTAGCTATTATAATTTTTATCATATAAGGCATAACGCAAAAAAAATGGTAAAAATCCTCATTAAAGTGCAAAAAGATCTTGTCTTGCTGATCATTTTTGTTTATTTAAGTTTTGTTCCATCTATTATAAGTTTTAAGATATAAGACAAAAACGCAAAAACAATTGTACAAATCGTCATCAAAGGGCAATAACTATAATAAGAGGTCAACTGACGATTTCAACCATAAGACTTATTAGAAGAACTTGTCCTTCTGATCATTTTTGCTATTAAAAGTTTTGTTCTATATATTATAGTTTTCAAGATAATAAGCAAAAATGAAAAAAAATGGTAAAATTTGTCATTTAAGGGCAAAAACTCCTACAAGAAATCATCTGACAGTTTTCACGTATATGAACAATTGGTAGAGCTCAACATTCTAAACAATTTTGTCCTTTAAGATTACCTGTATTTATAACAGATATCAGAATAATAGACAAAACTTGCATTTTACCACATATGTTCTATTTTTAGCCACGTCGGCCATCTTTGTTGGCAGGCGGGGTCATTGAACACATTTTTTAAAGTAAATACCCTAATAATTATTGTGGCCAAGTTTGATTCTATTTGGACCAGTAGTTTCAGAGGAGAAGATTTTTGTAAAAGATTACAAAATTTACGAAAAATTGTTAAAAAGTTGACTATAATGGGCAATAACTCCTTAAGGGTTCAATTGACAATTTTGGTCATGCTGACTTATTTGTAAATCTTACTTTACTGAACATTATTGCTGTTCACAGTTTTCTCTATCTATAATAATATTCAAGATAATAACCAAAAAACTTTAAAATTTCCTTAAAATGATAAATTCAGGAGCAGCAACCCAACAACTAGTTGTCTGATTTGTCTGAAAATTTCAGGGCAGGTAGATCTTAATCTAATGAACATTTTTACCCAGTCAGATTTGCTCTAAATGCTTTAGCTTCAGAGATGTAAGCCAAAAACTGCATTTTACTCCTATGTTCTATTTTTAGCCATGTCGGCCATGTTGGTTGGCAGGCAGGGTCATCGGACACATTTTTTTAACTCGGTACCCCAATAATATTTGTGGCCAAGTTAAGATGAATATGTCTATGTAGTTTCAGAGGAGAAGATTTTTGTAAAAGATTACAAAAATTTACGAAAATTTGTTAAAAATTGACGATAAAGGGCAATAACTCCTTAAGGGGTCATTCAACAATTTTGGTCATGTTGACTTATTTGTAGATCTTACTTTGCTGAACATTATTGCTGTTTACATTTTATCTCTATCTATAATAATATTCAAGATAACCAAAAACTGCAAAATTTCCTTAAAATTAACAATTCAGGGGCAGCAACCCAACAAAGGGTTGTCTGATTTGTCTTAAAATTTCAGGGCAGATAGATCTTGACCTGATAAACAATTTTTACCATTTCAGATTTTCTCTAAATGCTTTGGTTTCAGAGATATATGCCAAAATCTACATTTTACCCCTATGTTCTATTTTTAGCCATGGCTGCCATCTTGGTTAGCGGGCTGGGTCATCAGACACATTTTTTAAACTAGATACCCCAATGATTATTGTGGCCAAGTTTGGTCAAATTTGGTCCAGTAGTTTCAGATAGATTTTTGTAAAAGTTAAAGATGGACAACAGACGACCGATGACGGACGCCAAGTGATGAGAAAAGCTCACTTGGCCCTTTGGGCCAGGTGAGCTAAAAATGTGACTTCTTATTTTGCATTATTTTCAAAGTCAGATTAATAAAAATTCGCAATAATTTCTGAATTTACAGTAATAAACTGAGTCAAATATAAATCTTTTTCCAAAAGTATTTACCTTTCTGTATAGTTATACTAAGGGCCACAAAGGGATACTGATGTCTGTTATACTGATGATAAACTTACCTTTCTGTATAGTTATACTAAGGGCCACAAAGGGGTACTGATGTCTGTTATACTGATGATAAACTTACCTTTCTGTATAGTTATACTAAGGGCCACAAAGGGATACTGATGTCTGTTATACTGGTGATAAACTTACCTTTCCGTATAGTTATACTAAGGGCCACAAAGGGATACTGATGTCTGTTATACTGATGATAAACTTACCTTTCTGTATAGTTATACTAAGGGCCACAAAGGGGTACTGATGTCTGTTATACTGATGATAAACTTACCTTTCTGTATAGTTATACTAAGGGCCACAAAGGGATACTGATGTCTGTTATACTGATGATAAACTTACCTTTCTGTATAGTTATACTAAGGGCCACAAAGGGATACTGATGTCTGTTATACTGATGATAAACTTACCTTTCTGTATAGTTATACTAAGGGCCACAAAGGGGTACTGATGTCTGTTATACTGATGATAAACTTACCTTTCTGTATAGTTATACTAAGGGCCACAAAGGGATACTGATGTCTGTTATACTGATGATAAACTTACCTTTCCGTATAGTTATACTAAGGGCCACAAAGGGATACTGATGTCTGTTATACTGATGATAAACTTACCTTTCTGTATAGTTATACTAAGGGCCACAAAGGGATACTGATGTCTGTTATACTGATGATAAACTTACCTTTCTGTATAGTTATACCAAGGGCCACAAAGGGATACTGATGTCTGTTACTGATGATAAACTTACCTTTCTGTATAGTTATACTAAGGGCCACAAAGGGATACTGATGTCTGTTATACTGATGATAAACTTACCTTTCTGTATAGTTATACTAAGGGCCACAAAGGGATACTGATGTCTGTTATACTGATGATAAACTTCATTTACAAGTTTTGATAGCTAAAAAAGAAAAGCAAAAAAAAGTAACAAAAAATAATATTGAGAGTAAAAAATAGCTAATGGTGGTACAAAAGTAAATGTATTTAGTCAAATGTTACCTATGCCTATCTTTAACAACATACTAACATCTACTCATCTGTATGACTATTTGGGCCTGCTAAATTCACCAAAAATAAAGATAAATGTAAATACTTTAACAATTACTTTTTATCAAACTTCAGAAGAAGGATTTACAAAAAGTAAATATTACTTTATCCTTGATGATGCACTTTGACTGTGAAATATTTATTGAAATGTGGTTTAAAAGGGAGATAAGCCAGATATTGAGCAAAAATTAAATAATTTCTGACAGGAACATTTTTGACAAATTTAATAGTGCCAGTCTTTGTAAGAATCAGCAATTTTGAAAAATCCAAAACATGGCCGGAAAAAAAACCCAATGACTTAACCATCCTATCTTGAAGTTACTTTCATCTTGAGTTAGAAATGGAAGGTCTTTTGTTTCTGTGTGTCTGGTAATTCAAGAAATCTCTAGATACCTTTTGGTTAAAATGATAGCAAACTACTGAGTTTGCTTAATTGTTAATTTCTAAAGCAACCAAATTATAACTTAAATTACCAGAACAGGAAAAGGAAATCAATGTTTTATGTGTGCACCATTATATATTTTGAACATAAAATAATGACAACATGAGTGGATTTTTGTTTGTCATGTTTTCACCACTGCCCAATTCTTAGGCAGATTGGCACTTCAAAAGTGAAAACATTAAGGACAAGTGCGTCCAAAATATATTTGTCAGTGCAAAGGCAAAAATAGAATACACAGATATCTTTTTGGCAAGGGTTGTGCTGTGCATTATTTCTAAGCATTTGCAAGTCAGAGACTTAAAAATATATTTGATTTTAGAGCCAATTTGGCTCCTTTCTACAAGAGATCAGATTGATATTGAGAAATGCCCCTTTGGTTAATTGATTGATTATTGGTAGCTTAAATCCTTTTAGAGAGCTACTCCTATGCCAGACAATTTCTAAAAAATATTGATACCAAAATTTAATACTTTTGTATATATAAGAAAACAAAACTATTCAGGGCCTTTTATAGCTAACTATGCAGTATGGGCTTTGCTCATTGTTGAAGGCCATATGGTGACCTATAGCTGTTAATTTCTGTGCCCTTTGGTCTCTTGTGGAGAGTTGTCTCATTGGCAACCATACCACATCTTCTTTTTTATGTATACCTTAGAATGATCACATGGCCTCTTGTTGATGAAGTAAAACTGTCTATCTGCACTGCTTCTCCCCTGACCATGTTCACATTTAGATATATGGCCCTCTATCCTAAAACATTACAAAACATTGTAAATATATTGTGTTATGTACAAATATTATACCTGATTCTTTTTTATAACGAAGTTTTGGGCTAATGTAAATTATTTTAAATGAAAACTTGTACATAAGAGAGATTTGTCAAATGTCAGCTTAAAATCAACACTTTATCGGTGTAGTGATGTCAGATAACATTTGTTACCATCGTGAAAATAATTGAAATAACTTCCAGAATTTATTTCTTTTTGGCTGGATTTGGATATAAATTCAGTGTATGCATTCCTAAAGTATCTAAAGTTTGACTAAACTTAGACTAAACAGTAAATGATACCATTCAGTTCATTATGCAGTATCTGTTTGCTACACAAACATTTACTATTTATTTATTATCAAATATAATTATTAACAAGAATATGTGTCAAATACACAACGCCCAGCTTGCCCTGTCATATTTTCATGTTCAGGGAACTGTGAAATTAGGGTCAAAATGGTATTATCGTTGGCACAAAATAAAATTTTTCCACCATAATGAACATAATAATTATGGAAAAAGTTTAAATTGATGAGACCACATCCTGGTATAAAAGCCTTAAACTGATACAGGACAGAACAGACTGATTAATTGACGGATGCAAAGATCGTAAAATATAATGCCCCTCTTCTATCAGTTGGCAGGATTTTTTAATGTATTTTCTTCACATGATTTATGTATATTTCAGTAAGTACTTTATCATCTCTCTTCATAAATGTGTAACTGAAGACTCAGAGTTTGCGAAAATGGTCGGTCCTGTCGGTCCTATCGGTCAAAATGAGGCTCGGACCAGTATTTTGAAGGCTAGTGCCGGTCCCGATGACCGATGTAAAATCGGCCGTTGTAGTGCATATTTCGGCACTTTTTTTACATCGGTTATTAGATGTACCGCAACTGTTTCCAATAAGTGTTTACATCGGTTATCAGATGTACCCGCTGCCAATTTGCGGTACTAGTTTACAGATTTATTATAAACAAACCAAAGCGGCGATTTACACGTGGCCTACTAAATTTGTTCATAGAGCCATCCTTGGCAAACAATCGGCGATAGAACCCTTCAATGGAGCAAACAAATACTGTAACAGCTGAGAAAGCGATTCAGATGATGAAATGGATAGTGAAGATGACTTTAAATAAGAACAATCAGAAGACCTGAACTGGTCCTTCATTGTTAAATTATTTGCCTGTGGGTGCGAAGAATCAAACTAATATTAATAGAGTTATTTTTCAATAAAATATGTTATTAATTTTATTTCAGGATAAAATTGACAGATTTTGTAGGACTGGCTAAAATTTTGTAGGACTGACAAATAATCATGCTTTGTCGGTCCCATGACCGACGGGTCGAAATAAGTTTTCGCGAACTCTGAAGACTTAAGCTCATAACAATAATACTACTAACTTGAACAATTCAGTCTGTCCGTCTGTGAGCTTTATTCCATACTCTGTTGATACCTCCTCAGTTGGTTTGTGTTGCTTAAACTCTAGTATACTCTGCACCTAAAATGTATAATCATTAAATGGTGACAAGAGGCTCATGAAAGCCTGATATCTCTCACCTGTAATTTCAATTTCAGGCATTTTACTTATTTATAGATATTACTTTGCTGAACAATTTTGTCATTTACACTTTCTTTCTATAATAATATTAAAGATAATACACAACCCAAAACTGTAAAATTTCCTAAAAATTCATTATTTCTTGACTTTTACTCAACAATCAGTTGTCCTATTGTTCTAAAGATTACTTGACAGGTAGATCTAAACCTGTTTAACACTTTCACCTATGTCAGTTTTGCTCTTACTGCTTTAGTTTTTGAGATGAAAGCCAAAAACTTCATTTGACCCCTATGTTCTATTTTTAGAAACTGCCGCCATGTTTTTGAATGGATCAAAACTTCGGATACAATTTATAAACTAGATACACTAAGGAACATTCAATTAAAGTCGGAAGTATTTGTCCCAGTAGTTTCAGACAAGAAGATTTTTGAAAAAGTAATAGACTTGCACGAAAAAATGTAAAAAAAAACATTTCAAGGGCAAAAACTCCTTAAGGAGTCAATTGACTCTTTTGATCATTTGACTTATTTGTAGGTCCTACTTACCTGAACATTTTTGCCATTTATACTTTCTCTCTTTATATTATAATATTAAAGATAATAACCAATAAAATGCTCCGCTGGGCGCAATTTGATACGACCACAGAGGTTGAACCCATAACAGTTGGGGCAAGTATGGACACAACATTCAAGTTTGATACAGCTCTGAATTTGGATTGTGATTAAATATTTGGCATAGGTTTCTGACACAGAATGAATGTGGTCTAAGAATTTAAAAAATTTTAATTTACCTATTATGGTCCAATATCCAAAATCTAAATACATGGTTAGATTCAGCATATCAAAGAATCCAAAGAATTCAATTTTTGATGAAATCAAACAAAGTTTAATTTTGGACCCTTTTGACCTCAATGTGGACCAATTTGATAACGGGGCCCAAAAATCAAAATACATGGTTAGATTCAGCATATCAAAGAACCCCATATATTCAATTTTTGTTGAAATCAAACAAAGTTTAATATTGGACCCCAACTTGGACCAACTTGAAAACTGGGCCCATAATCAAAAATCTAAACACATGTTTAGATTCAGCATATCAAAGAACCCCAAGAATTCAATTTTTGTTAAAATAAAATTAAGTTTAATTTTGGACCATTTGGACCTTAATGTAGACCAATTTCAAAAACGGGACCCAAAATTAAAAATGTAAATACACGGTTAGATTTGGCATATCAAAGAACCCCAATAATTAAATTTTTGATGAAATAAAACAAAGTTTAATTTTGGACCCTTTTGACCTCAATATGAACCAATTTGATAGCGGGGCCCACAAATAAAAAATCTAAATACATGGTTAGACTCAGCATATCAAAGAACCCCATATATTCAATTTTTGTTGAAATCAAACAAAGTTTAATTTTGGACCCCAATTTGGACCAACTTGAAAACTGGGCCCGAAATCAAAAATCTAAATACATGTTTAGATTCAGCATATCAAAGAACCCTAAGAATTCAATTTTTGTTAAAATCAAACTAAGTTTAATTTTGGACCCTTTGGACCTTAATGTAGACCAATTTGAAAACTGGACCCAAAATTAAAAATCTAAATACACGGTTAGATTTGGCATATCAAAGAACCCCAATAATTCAATTTTTGATGAAATAAAACAAAGTTTAATTTTGGACCCCAATTTGGACCAACTTGAAAACTGGGCCTGAAATCAAAAATCTAAATACATGTTTAGATTCAGCATATCAAAGAACCCCATATATTCAATTTTTGTTAAAATCAAACTAAGTTCAATTTTGGACCCTTTGGACCTTAATGTAGACCAATTTGAAAACTGGACCCAAAATTAAAAATCTAAATACACGGTCAGATTTGGCATAACAAATAAATAAATGTGGTCAAAGATTTTACAAATCTAATGCGCCATACTGTGCAATTAAAGATTACTTCTTGAAATTTTTCAATATTTGAAATTTGAAAAAAAAATATTATTTGAAGAATAATTCTTTTTAATTTCTGAAATCTGAAATGAGAAAAAATTGACCCCCCACAATTTCTTTTTACCCCCCCCCCCCCCCCCTTTTTCCCTTAAAAAATTCTTTCCCTCAAGATATGGTCATAATCTCAATTCAAATTTCCAATGGAACTTGCAACCATAATTACCCATTTAAATTTACCATAGTGCTAACTTAATCTATTTTATAATAGAATTTAAAATATGGTGTCAAATCTTTGTAAAAAAAAAAAGATGCAACATTTGCAGATATTTTTACTGGTCTTCCTTTATAAATATGCATTTCTTTAAACATAATTTAAAAGCAGTGTAAGGGTAGTAATCAAAACGTTGTATGTGGATTACCTCCCTTACACTGTTTTAAATTGTCTTAATTATTCATTAACCATTACTTTATACATAATTGAAGAGCAGTGTTAGGGAGGTAATTCAAATGATGTATTTGATTTATCTCCCTTACGCTGCTTTAAATTATGTTTTGTACTAAAGTATTTGTCCATATAAAAATGCTTGTTTTTTGCCTCTTTTTTGGCCCCCAATTCCTAAAATTTTGAGGCAATTACCCCCAAAATCAATCCCAGCATTCCCTTTGTGATATGGAACCTTGTGGTACAATGTCAGAGAGATCCATACACTAACACACAAGTTATGTCTGGAAGTTACAAAATTGCTTATTTTTGGCCCCTTTTTGGCCCCTAGCCTAATTCCTTAACTGTTGGTACCATAACCCCCAAAATCCATCCCAACTTTCCTTTTGTGGTATTGAACCTTATGGTAAAATTTCATAGAGATCCATTCACTTAAACTAAAGTTAGGGTGCGAAAACCAATGTGTCTTCGGACGACAACGACGACGACACCAACGTCATACCAATATACGATCGCAAAATTTTTTTGCAGTCGTATAAAAACAGTAAAATTTCATAAAAATAAACTATTTCTGACAGTAACCCTACAAATGGGTGGTCAAATTGTTATGAAAATTTCATAGCAGATAGATCTTGTCTTATTCATCATTTAACTACATGTCACTTTTGCTCTAACTGCTATAGTTTTTGAGATAAAAGTCAAAAACTGCATTTGACCCCTATGTTCTATTTTTAGCCATAGCAGCCATGTTTGTTGATGGATCAAAACTTCGGATATCATTTATAAAATAGATACCCTAAGGAATATTCAGTTAAAGTTTGAAGGTATTTGGCCCAGTAGTTTCAGAGGAGAAGATTCTTGAAATTGTTTACGACGATGACAGATGACAACAGACGATGGACATCAAGTGATGGCATAAGCTCACATTGGGCCCTTTGGGCCCGGTGAGCTAAAAAAGACAAAACCATGGGTCAAGATAATCTTGTAGGTAATTTAATTAATTTCTTTAATACTCATAAAATTAAGAGTCCATTCAAACAATTTTTTTCTAAAATCAATGTCTATCTTGCTGTTACATGTAGATGTTCTTTAGTTCATTGTTGATGACATTCCAACAATCTCAAAGTTAACTAGAGGCTCTTTAGAGCCTATGTCGCTCACCTTGGTCTATGTGCATATCAAACAAAGGACACTCTCCAACATCATAGACGAGAATAAATAGTTTCTTTGACTTATTAATAGATCTTGCCTTGCTGATCATTTTTGTGATTTAAAGTGTTTATTTATCTATTATAATTAAAATCATATAAGCATAACAAAAATAAAATTCTCTCTCTAAATATCATAGTTTTCATGATAATAGGCAAAACTGAAAAAAAAATGGTAAAATTTGTCATTTATGGGCAATACCTCCTATAAGAATTTGTCTAACAGTTTTAACGTATATGGACAATTGGTAGAGCTCATTATTATGAACGTATTTGCTCCTTTCAGATTTTCTCTATTTATAATGGTTCAAAAAATAATAGACAGAACTGGCAATTTACCTCTATGTTCAATTTTTAGCCATATCAGCCATGTTGGTTGGTAGGCAGGGTCATCTGACACTTTGTTTTAACTAGATACCCTAATGATGATTTGTGGCAAAGGTTTGTTAAATTTGTCTATGTAGTTTCATAGAAGATTTTTGTAAAGATCACAAAAATTTACAAAAAAATGTTAAAAATTGACTATGAAGGGCAATAACTCCTCAAGGGGTCAATTGACCATTTTGTTCATGTTGACTTATTTGTAGATCTTACTTTGCTGAACAATTTTGCTGTTTACAGTTTATCTCTATCTATTATAATATTCAGGACAACCAAAAACTGCAAAATTTCCTTAAAATTATCAATTCAGGGGCAGCAACCCATCAACAGGTTGTCTGATGCGTCTGAAAATTTCAGGACAGATAGATCTTCACCTGATGAACATTTTCATCCATGTCAGATTTGCTCTAAATGCTTTAGTTTCAGAGATATAAACCAAAAACTGCATTTTACCCCCATGTTCTATTTTTAGCCATGGTGGCCTACTTGATTGATTGGTGGGGTCATCAGATATATTTGTCTAACTAATTACCCTATGGATGATTTAGGCCAAGTTTGGTTAAATTTGGCCCAGTAGTTTCAGAGGAGAAGATTTTTGTAAAAGCTTACAAAAATTTACGAAAAATTGTGAAAAATTGACTTTAAAGGGCAAAACCTCTTTAAGAGATCAATTGACAATTTGAGTCTTGTTGCCTTATTGCGTGAACCCCCTGAGGGGTTCACACTTATATATTGGCGAGTTTTGGTAGTGTCTATGGGCCACTCGATATCCCTCGGAATCACGATTCTCGGAACGTCTCTAAAATTTTCCATCATTTATACAGGTATAGTTATTTATGTCTTTGATACATTCCCTCTATGAATAGGCTACCACATGACATGTATATTTCAACAATCTGACAAAGTTCATTTGTAGATTTGAAAGTAAAACAATAAATACTTGGTTGCATTCTAAAACCATTTATATGTTAGAACCTATTTGCCTTTTGACAAATATATAGATGTTTTAATAATGAGAATGTTTATTAAATATCAAGTATAATGATTACGCAATTATATAATTCCAGGGCCTAATCTAGGATTTTGAAGAGGGAGAAGTGACTTCTCCTTCCATGAGAGAGAAGGGAGAAGTGGTCAATTTCTCTTGGAGAAGTGAGGTTCCATTACCGTTTCGGTCGCGTCGTGTTTTCATGCTTATCACTTAGAAAATTGTTTTATATTCAATAAAAGATATACTTGCAGTTTTTTCATATGTTATTGTACACAATGTATATATATAGAAAGTTCTTAATAAAAAGGTTTAGACAATATATAGTTGTTATTTATTTATTGATACATTGTGTTCTAAATAAAATTTGTTGATTGGGACATGAGAGAGTAGCCTAGTAATATTATCATGATTATGATGCATTAAATCCATGTGCATCTGCCTCAATTTATTTTTAAAAGTCCAGAAAAGACTCCCAGTTTACCTGATGAATTTCAGATGACTGGGAATTTAATTTATATCACCACTTGTCATTATTTTGTAAAACATTATTGAATGTCCAGGACATTATGTTAGTTGTAAATTGAGATTATCGTTGAAGATTGTAAGTCTATAAATGAAAATATCTTTCAATCGCATATTAATTATCCGATAAAGAGCTAATTTCTATCATTTTTTAAAAATATCATCCATATCAACGAAATGGTCGTGAGAAAAAATCCACTGCTGATCACTATCTGGTAGAGTGTCGTACGTTTACAATCACATTATCCATCAGCTGTCTTTCTACCTTTTATATTTCAATTTTTTTTCAATCAATATAATAAATCTACCGTTAATTCCCACCCTTTACCTACCGACTAGTAAAATTGATCGACTCGTGTAAGTTATAAAAATAAAACAAATCAGCTGAGTGATTACGCAATATCCTCAGATGAAAATCATCGTAAAATGATAACTTAAACAGACGGTCAGTTTTCCGTTAGAATAGTTTTAAAAGTTATATCCGAGGATGTTCAAAGTCGCCGTTGTATTTATTTAATTTGATCGTTGACAGTATTAGTTCTGGGTCGTTTCGAAAATCTCGATTTTCCTTGTCAGCCGCCATTTTTTTACCTGTGAGACTTGTCAAACACAAGTTGTCTCCCTTTTACCGATTTTGATAGCGATTTGACTTCGCTATGAAGTCAGTCGGCCGGCAAGATTTAGCGATTTTTAAAATTCTTTGGCGACTTAAATCGTCATTTCGCCGGCAAGATTATGGCCTGTTAAATTCTTGCTTTGAGATGGTCCCTCTACGCGTTGTGTGTGTAGTATTTAATAAACCTGGGAATAGTTTATTGATATACAATGACCCAGAATAAACTGATTATTTCTGAACGTTTATCATTATCATAGCACGAGAAAATGTTGGAAAGCATGAAGAAAATTAAGAAAACGATATTTCTGTTAAAATTATTTATCTAGAAGGATAATCAACTTAAACAAAAGAATTTTTCTGTAAAAAAAAATATCTAATTTCATTTATAGATATTACCAGACTAAGAGAATATTCATTGTTATTGTAAAACTGAGACTGAATTTATTTTTTGAATAATTATAGAATATAATTAGAATTGTAATGTATACGTGCATTATGTCTCACAGGTTTGATCAGTCATTACATATGTAACGTATGAGCACCAATGAGCAGGGATGCGTACCCAAAGAAAGCTAAATATCTAAATTTTAAAAGGTCGTGAATGAGAAAAAATACTTGCGTGGTTTCAATTCACAAGGATTTTAAATCCTTGGATCTCACAAAAAAACGTGAATAATATTTTACAATAAGCATAAGAAAATTAATAACTATCATAATGCCAATTATTTTATACGGTTTTAGTAAGTCTCTGCTTATATTTTGTATAGGATTAGCAATATATTCTTATAGTGGAATGTTAGACTTAAAAAAGAGATTCAATTGATCAATAAAATGTCCATGCGTAAATACTTGACATTTGTGTTTATTGATATTATATTCAAGTTGTTTTTGGAAAAAATACAGGAATGTATGTTTTATTAGTTCAACCTAATAGCATCTAAATATTTGTACTATGGCACGGTTTTGAAAATTGTATTCGATCAATTAATGATCATTGTGTTGACCAGCTATCCTACAAGTCTTTTATTATTCATTCACCTTATACATCACCCTGTTCACATGCACGCACACTATCGGTTTGCGTTCACAAAAATTCCGGATGAAATGTCAATGAATCCGAAGTCAAAACACTTGAGGTAGGTAGTTTGACATCCGAATTCAACTATTAGATTAATATATGTGAAGATGCAAATGCGTATTCTTATCGGGAGTATCAGTGCGTATACTTTTATTTACTATTTCTTGCGCAAAAATACCACGTTCATGTAAAAATATCTTAAAACTTTGACATTTTCGAAATGCCATGGATTTTTTACCCAAGGAATAGATAACTTAACTTCATAATGTATTTGGACTTTTTTTAAACTATTTTCATTTGAGCATCACTGATGATTCTTTGTAGACTTAACTCACGTCTGGCATACAACTTGTTAATCGTGATATCTTTTTATATCTACGTGTCTTTTTATATAAATTGGTTCCTTTTGGGAGTATGTTCAGGTATACATAAAACTTCTGAAAATAAGATATTCCGCAAAACCAAGTTTCCCTCTAGAATATTTGGATTGATTTAAGTAAAATCAGGAAATCCTTAAAATTTGAGATGTTTTATGAGACCAAAATAAGTCTCCATATAAGAGGTCCAAATGAAGCTGGTGTGCTACTCTCAAGAAAAATATACAAAACCTTCTTATAAGTTGCATGCCACAGCGTTTCACTTCACATGGAAAATGGACTTTAATGATTTATCTATACAACATCTACCATGAGTACAGACAACTTCAATAATGAGTTGAGAATATGAAGGCATCCAGATTATAAAGCAAACTGAGTGCTTAAATTTATATTGCGATTGATTTGTGCAATTTGCATTATACATCTGGTTTATAGAAACTGGGATTTGCAATAAGATTATGAAAAAATGATGTACAATCCCAAGTAGTAAATGAAATAGTTGAGCTTTAAAATGTATATTCAAATAGTAGCTGTATACAATTATACATTATTTACAACTATTCAACATTGCTTTCAACTGACTTGTGCAAGAATTTACACACTATTCTTTCAATTCAAAAGCAAACAAAAATTCAGCAACAATCTTATGGTTATCAGTCAGCGGTCTTAGGTTCACGTGTTGCTTTTCTTTTTTTAAAGAAAGCAACTTGTTTGTATATCTAACTTTGCTGAACAATTTTGCTGTTTACAGTTTATCTCTATCTATTATAATATTCAAGATAATAACCAAAAACTGCAAAATTTCCTTAAAATTAACAATTCAGGGGCAGCAACCCAACAACGGGTTGTCTGATGCGTCTGAAAATTTCAGGGCAGATAGATCTTGACCTGAAGAACATTTCTACCCTGTCAGATTTGCTCAAAATGCTTCAGTTTCAGAGATATAAGCAAAAAACTGCATTTTAACCCCATGTTCTATTTTTAGCCATGGTCGGGGTCATCGGATACATTTTTCATACAAGATACCCTAAGGATGGTTTAGGCCAAGTTTGGTTTTATTTGGCCCAGTAATTTCAGATGAGAAGATTTTTGTAAAAGTTAACAGATGACGACGTACGACGAAGACTGATGACGGACGCCAAGTGATGAGAAAAGCTCACTTGGCCCTTTTGGGCCAGATGAGCTAATAAAAGTAAGAAGTTACACTGTAATATGATATTATTTCTTGTGATACTTTAGGAATGTTGTCACATACCCAATGCATTTCTCCCTAATTAATGTCAGAAATTAAAACTAACCATCTACTTTTGGAGAAGATTGCAAGTGATATTTTGAAACTTTTTTATTGTATTTTATGCACACAGTGTAAATTTTGCTGTTAAATTACTTGTATAACTAGACATCATTGAGATGGGAGCCATCTCTGTGGGCCCCGCTGTAAATAACGTGTGGTATAAAAAATTTGTATCTTTACCATAGTTCTTAAATATAGAGCAGACACCAACTTTACCATAGGACATAGGGTTGTCAATTAAAACCAAAGTTTTTGACCTTGACCTTTGACCAAGGAAGGTGTACATACATTATGACACACCCTCTGAGGTTGGTTAATATACAAGTATTAACTTTGAAATCATAACGATTCTCAAGATAAAGAGCGGACACGATCCTTACCATAGGACATGGGATTGTCAACTGAAACCAAGTTTTTTACCTTGAACTTTGACCTAGGAAGTTGTACAAACATTATGACACAGCCTCTGGTGTTGGTTAATATACATGTCAAGTATAAAGTATGAAATTATAACGGTTCTCTAGATGTAGAGCAGACACAATTTGTTACAGATGGACAAACAGACAGACTGATCACTATAGGGCGACCTGCCACTAGGCGGGGCCCTAATTAAAGTTATTCTACAGTTAAAAAAATGTATAAATATAAATACGAGTCCAATTTACTGCCATCATAGCATGAACCACATTAAACACCCTTTTTAGATGTGTCTACTTACATACCTGCTCTTTATACATATAGGCCAGTAATAAACTATTACTTTTTTACAATTATAGGAAAACATTCAATAAGGATAGAAGAAATCATCAGACCCATGCTACAATATGTACCTACCTGCTTGGGACCAAATATATTGGATATATTTTCCTTTACTGTCTGGTTACCTTTACTGGATACTACTGTTGTTCTGTTCCTATATTGGAAATAAAGGAAGTAAAATGATCAATCAAATGCTGTGTCTTGCCTGCAATTGCCAATGTCAGTGTAAAATTGTAATGTTGATAACAAAAAACTAAGTCAAATTATTAGTAAAATAAAGAAAAATCTAAACAATCAAAATTTTGCTCAGAGTGCTATCTCTTGATTATGAAAAAGCTTGTGTTATGCATGTTTGGTAAAATTCAATTTATCGATGTCTAAAAACTTAAACCACATATCCATCCTGACTGATGACTTTCACGATGACTACCAAATGTAGGATGGCTATGTTTTGACTCAAGACTAAATTAATTTTAACTGTAATGATACCCTCCCTCTATAAGTATTTGGCTAACAGGAAATTGATTAGTGATGGGTGTGAAAATGCATCACACATTAAAGAATGCACACAAGAAGCTCAATTCCAAATTTTGCCAGAATCAGTTATTTAACTCATAATCCCAAGGTTGACAGGCTAGGGATTGCTGTAGATGAATTCATGACACCACTGTAAGACAATACAAGCTGCAAGAAACATGAAATAGATTGGAAGGGATGCATCTCATTAAAAAATAGTAATTAACATTAAATCACAACATTTAACATTACAAATTATTACTACATCACCTCCCCTCAGAATATCATCTACCCTTTGCCTGTCTGATTGGTACAAGTTATTTTTACACCTGTTATGATGAGGCAGTAATCAATATGTTCCCTTCCCCTCACCATGTACCTACCCTTTGCCTGTCTGATTGGTACAATTTATCCTTACACCTGTATTGATGAGGCAATAGGCATTCAGGACATGTACCATCTTTACGAATTCCTTCTTCAGATTTCGTTGGAATTCTTTATGTCGAACAGGAAGTGTATAAAACAGATTCTGTAGTGTTACTGTAGTACCAATCTATAAATAGATCATTGTTTTAATGCATTGAAATGACAATTCTTACTGTTATATTGATTACTTGTGTCTTATATGTTTTAAATGGTTTCTCACCAGATTGCCGTATAATCTTAGGGCTACAGTTCAAAGCAAGAAATTAATCATCTTTGTATCACTATATATGTTTATCTTTGCAAGGAGTTGAATATCAAACGTCTAAAATTGAAACAAGAAGTTATATTTAATAATGTTGTTTGTGTATACTTCATGGAAATAATTCCAGCTTCAAAATATTAGATTAGTTGCAGTGCATTCATAGTGGTGCTAAAGAGCTATCAACTAACAGCTAACCAGTGCTGAGTTTTGAAGATGCAAACATTTTATTTAAATTTCTGTGATGTTTTTTAAAGTTTGTTCACAATTTGAAAAAAAGACCAAATAAAGAAGTTACATGTTTTGTGCTAATTCTCTTGTAATTCAAAGTACCAGAAAACAGGAAGTAGGTATCTGACAGACCCAAAAAGTGCTCACACCTTACTTCTCATCCATGTCAAGCTGCTGATCAAATATGAAGTCTTAACTATTCAGTAGTTCCTGAGCAAAGTGTAGATAAAAATGTTGTCGGAATTGAAAGATTCATAGTATCTGCGAACAAGAAAAAGGTGGCTGACAGATCCAAAAAGACCTGATCACACTTTACAACACATTACTATCAAGCTTAAAAGTTCCAACACATAACATCTCATCTCTCGGAAGATACTATAACTGAATATGAAATATTTCTATTTTGTAATTCCTAAATTCAAAAATAAAATGCAGAAAGGACAGACAGACAAGGAAAATGCAATAAAGCCCAGTCATATAGAGTATAATAATAATATGTCATGATTTACAATTTGTATGTAACCATACCTGTCTAGCCACTGATGACCTACTGTTGACCTTGCCATGGTTATCATATTCCAGTTTAGTACCTACTTCTACATCTTTGTGTCTGGTTACAACACTCATAACACTGTATAAAAGAAGAATTGATTGAAAATACACTGCAATAAGAATATATAATCAGAAAATACACTGCAATAAGAATATATAATCAAAGTGCTTGTAAGCACTGAGGGGTAAAGATTGCTTTAATTTATCAGTGGAAGTAAAATTAAAATAGTGCATTGTATAAAGCATTGGTTGTAGTTGATTCAACTACAATTCTGGACAAAGGAGAATAACTTCAATTTTTAAAGATGACTTTAACAATGACATCATTGATATTTTTAGAACAGATATTAGATTCCTGCACCTTGCAAAAGTTATGTAATTTTCTTGACAAGTATAACATAATTTATTAACTTGAATATCTGAGCATATATTTCATTGATAAATTTCTGGAAATGTTCATGGATAGAATGTATAGAATATTATGATCAATGCACTATATTTTGTGTATCTCAGTACTTCCCCATCTTTTCACTTCGCCCAGATTTTGATAGAAGGAAGTTTGTTTTAGTGAACTGTTCTCTTTATTCCATTAAAATAAATTCCTTTCAGGGTATTTTTGTGAAAGTTTTACCTCAAAGCACATAAGGAACTCAATGCTTCTCCTCTGAATCCAAATGTTTCCACATTAATCAGGTCTGAAAAATCTTCTAACTTAGAAGTATGATGTTTTAAAGCTAAAAAAAGAAAAAGACAAGATAAGATATTATGTGTTAATTATATAATAATTTCAGAGTATACATGAAAAAGTTAACCATAACATTTGATTTCATCATTTTTTTATTTAAATGTTTCAAAAGGTAGAAATTAATTTCTTTAAAAAAACAGTATGACTTAAGTTTGAAAATATGCAGTGGAACTCACACAAAACTTTAATAATGCATTTTAGTTCAGAGGTATACATTGTACAAGCTCATGAAGCTGTTCTGAAGGCACATTTGGTTGATTTGAACAAGAAAAGTTCTAAAGATTCATTTAAAAGAATAGACATGCAGTGCCAAAATAAGAAATTCTTTTAAAATAGTTTATAATTTTTTTTTTTTAACCTATTGTGCCTACACATCAATAGTTGTTATCTTCACATCATTTGGTCTCTGGTGGAGAGTGTCTCATTGGCATCATACCACATCTTCTATCTTTATACTACCGAAGGTCAGTGGTTCTCTCCAGGCACTCCAGCTTCCTCCTTCAATAAAACATACCACCACGAAATAGCACAATAGTGCTGAAAGTTGTGTCAAACACCAATCAATCAACCAATCAATCAATCTATCTTTATTTTATAAAATCTAATCTTACTGAGTCCTTCAAAATTCTTCTCCTCCACACCCAATCCATTATCACTGACATCAATCATCTCACTCCCATATTCTCTCAGTTTGACCTCTGTAAAACAGGCTATACATGTATTACTGTTAAATACATTTTTTGTTCTTAACCGAAACATACATGATGCGTATCATTTCAAAATTTCCTAAGGATGTTTTGATGCATCAGCAATAAAAAACCTTTCATTGTTTATGTGTTTTCTTTATTTATTGCTTCTGTCTATGGGCTTTTCAGGACTCATTTCAAATTGGTACATTTTTATCAATAAAGGTTTTATTAAGCTATGACACCTGTAATACTCCATTGTTTTGGGGTTTATTTTGTTAAGTAAAAACTCATGTTTTTCTTTGACTTTTGGATGTTGGAAAAAAACCCACAGGGGTTCAAATTAGTATGAGTCAGAGATCTGCAACATTTCTTCTATTTTTATCACAGAATTCCATGACCTCCATCTTTACAATGATGCTTTACACAGTACCTACGAAATTCTGGAAGGCTTTTTAATTAAAAATTCAAATGGTCCTGGACGTTTCATTCTTTAAAGCAAATTCGCACCAATTTTTGTTAAGAGTTGTGATTACAAAAGATATTTATATATAGTTCAATAAAACATTCTGTTGGTCATGTAAGTCTTTATTTTTGATGTATTGCTGAACATTGTAGATTTCGTTTTCAACTGCATGATATGTACATATATGAATTCATGTCTTTCTTTATTATTTTTGTGATGTGTTATGTAATGTGTTATTTTGTTTTCATGGATGCCATCAACCCCATTGGGAATGTTTGGGTATAACAGTGCATTATTTTCAATACACATAATAAATATTTTTCTTTCCAAATGGCCGATTGAATGGGGACAAGATGTTCATTCCTCTTCCAAAGATTATCCCTCTTTGTTAGACAAAGAATGATAACCCTTTGGGAAATAAAATTTGAGTGCAACTTGGCATTTAAATAGGTGATTGTAAGAAGAGAAATGACAACACTTTAGTGAATGCCTGAGACACAGTACAATCTTTATAGAGTAAAACACAAAGAAAGTTAATATATTTGCATTAAACAGGATCAAACTATTTCAGTAATACACATAGCCACCATTCATACCTACAATTGTGGCTCCAGCATCAATACTATTCTCTACCAGTTCTTTTACTGCTGTAGCTAAAGTTAATACAACCTGTCCTGAACATATTCTGTGTACAGATCCTCTGTCTATAGCCTTTATTGACCCAGCTTCCATCAGCAAGATTAGAATACAATCCTGAAAAAAAAACTTTATAAAAATACAAGAGTGCACACACTGAAATGTCTCGCCTTCTTTACTGACCATTGATTTTATGTTGATAGTCCTAAATATAAAGCTTTACTACAACTATCACATATACTTAACATGATCCAAGAAAATGAGGTCAAGGTCAGATAAACCAAACCGGAAATACATGTACACCTTACAATCATTCAATACACCAAATATAGTTGACCTATTGCTTATAGTTTCTAAGAAACAGACTTAAACAGGAAAATAAAACATTGACCAATTCAATGAACCATGAAAATAAGGTCAAGGTCAGATGAACCATGCCAATCTATGCATTAAATATATAGTTGACATATTGCTTATAGTACAATGTAATATCTAAGAAACAAACTTAACCAGGAAATCTAAACATTGACCAATGAACCATGAAAATGAGGTCAAGGTCAGATGATACCTGCCAGACAGACATATATATACACCTTACAATCATTCCATACAACAAATATAGTTGACCTATTGGTAATAGTTTAAGAAAAACAGACCAAATCACAAAAACTAAACACTGACCAATGAACTGTGAAAATGAGGTCAAGGTCAAATAAAACCTGCCAGACTGACATGTACGTGTACATTGTAAAATATTTCCATACACCAATTATAGTTGACCTATTGCATATAGTTTTAGAAAAAATTTGGCCAAAACACATAAACTTAACTTTAACCACTGAACCATGAAAATGAGGTCAAGGTCACATAACACCTGCCAGTTGGACATGTACATGTACACCTTACAATCATTCCATACACCAAATATAGAAGACCTATTGCTTATAGTATCTGATATATGGACTTGACCACGAAAACTTAACCTTGTTCACTGATCCATGAAATGAGGTCGAGGTCAGATGAAAACTGTCTGACGGGCATGAGGACCTTACTAGGTACGCATATATTAAATATAGTTATCCTATTACTCATAATAAGAGAGAAATTAACATTACAAAAAATCTTAACTTTTTTTTCAAGTAGTCACTGAACCATGAAAATGAGGTCAAGGACAATGGACATATGACAGACAGAAACTTCATAACATAAGGCATATATATACAAAGTATGAAGCATCCTGGTCTTCCACCTTGGAAAATATAAAGCTTTTAAGAAGTTAGAGAGGCCTGATGGGGGGTCTCATCACGATTCACGAGTTGATTTTTTTGTCAATCACGATTCACAGAAAATAAATTTCCATGATCACGGATCACGAAAATATAAAAAAAAATAAATCTGTAAAAAAACGGATCACGATAGCGAAAATGTGCCGATCACGAAGAACGAAAATAACCCATCAGGCCCCTCAGGTTAGCTAACGCCGCCACATCACTATCCCTATGTCAAGCTTTCTGCGACAAAAATCGCAGGCTCGACAAAAATTTCATCTGAAATCCTAGGCCGTGGGTAGTTATAACAGTGATCCTCCAAACAATCATTGGGAATTCAAGATCTGTAAACTTAAGAACAAACATATGGCAGCTGGCTGCCATGTTGTAAATCATATGATTTTCTGCAAATTTGTATATCTGAGTTACAAAAGAAATAATGGAAATAATATGAGGATTTATTCTGTCTGTGTATGTTATAAAAGGAATCTTGTGCTCATTCAACATATATACCAGAATTGCGATCGACAAGTACAATATGTTTTTACTACATGTATAAATATTAGTTTTAATTCATAGAATGGCAATTTGATAAATATTTAGAAGAATTATCTATCAATCTTATTATGAAACTGTTCTGCAGGAAAAATATGGTCCTCTTAAGATAAAGACCACTGAAGATTTGAGACTACTTTGAAGACAATTGCTCTATATCATCATTTAAACATATAACAAACTTTCTCATATCATTCATAAATATGAGCATAAGTGCAAAAAAATGTCCAATTTCCTGTCATTAATTTTTATCAAAATTCCTACATTCAGTACAGAACACTGGGATTATTATATCGCAACTTATCATCTTGCCCCCAGGAAATAAAATTACAAGCGTACAAAGGACTTATACAACTGGTCCTTTAATATTCAAGTGCTGCCTGGGATCCCCATTAAACATATCTCCAGGAGAAACTAGAAAACTTCCAAAAAAGAGCGGCACGTTGCATTTCATCAAATTACAGTGATTATGAACACGGATCAATGACAGCTCAATTCACCATCATTAAATTAAATGATAGAAGTACACAGAGTAGGCTAATACTTCTGCATAAAGAGCTAAACAATAAAGCTCATATACCAACTGAGCAATTGGAAATACCAGGAAGGATCACCTAAACCATGCATAAACATTTCCTCAGACTGCCAACCAGAACAGACTCACTTAAATTTACCCCAAATACCATTAAGGACTGGAACTCAATACCACTGGACATTTTCCACAAGATATAATTATCAACAGACCAAGTCAGATCATTTGTAGATATTGCTCGAGATGGGGGGGATATTTGGACTAATCACTACATGATGAATGCAAGGTGTAATAATGTCTATCGAACATGTTATCGTATCCTAACAAGATCAAGTATTTGGTGCTTAAATCTGATAAAATGATCTTGTAATATTTCATTTATTATGTTTGGCCACTGGAAATATTTTATTTTTAAACCACAATACCGGTACAATACTGGAACAAAATTTTTAGTCTACACATGTAGTATTGTAGACAATACTGGTATACCAGTATTGCGATCGCCAAGTACAGGAGATCCTTGCTTTGCAACAGGTTACCTACAGACCCATCAAAGAGTTGTTGCAAGGGTTCTTGACCTTCAGAGAGCAAGGCACTTTCTTAAATGAAATAATAAATATAAAATAGCTTTATTTAGAGTCGGCATAGTATACAAACAAGGACATAACATAAGCTCTAATGAGCTTTTAACCGACATAGCAACCCCCAATACAGGCACAAGAACGTTGGTCTCTGACAAAAAAATACCCTATATACATGTACCATAGTCAGTCAGAGATACAATGTATAACTCTATAGGGTTATTACAGAAAATAACTTGCGTGTGTTATTACAGATACTTTCACGAGTTGTCTACTCTTTATTCCTTAAATTTTCTAAATCTGCAATAACATATGTTTGTTATTTGTAAAATAAATCAAAATATTTTAATTTATAATGGGCTCTAGCTATAGGGAACTCTTGAGACTTTGCGCAGAAACTAAATGCATAGCCTTGATAACTAATTTCTTTATTTAAATTAATTCATTTTTGATTAACCATGATAAATCAATGAGACGAGGCTTTTAAGGGATAAACTTAGCTGTAATAACATAGCTTAGTTATTAAAGGAATGTAACTTATTATATGAGACACTTGGGAATTACTGGGAAGCTTGCGCAGAACCTCATTACATGCTCTGGTCATTATTTCTTACAATAAATTAAAATACATTGTAATTAAGCATGATGTATGTCTGAGAAAAAATAGAATGATATAGAGAAGCTGTGATAACACCCTTTAGTTATTACAGGCATATTTTTTCTGTAATAACATATAGGTGTACTATGCAAAATTGGCAAACTATGAACTGTTATATCCTTCTATAGTTAAGTATACATAAAGACAATAGTAATATCAATAGAACTTGTATGCATTTTAACTAAACTAATGATGTATATTGTCCATTTGAAACATGTAACATACATATGTTATCACAGTTCTTTGATTTTTTAGTCCACAATAACAAATGTATGTTATTTTTCTGTAATAAGCCTATAGAGTTATATCCCTGACTGATAGTGTGCCCCCAAAAGTTACTGCGGAATAGAAACACGGTCACGTAGATCTTCTTCCAACCAGAAAAAAAAAAGATAAACATAAATTAGAAATGGTACAAAGGAGATCTGCCATATAACAAACCGGTATAGAAACAGATCATCGGTTACTGATATGTTAAAACAGTTAAAGTAGACACCATTAGAGGATAGAAGGAAAAACGCACGTTTATCAATGCTGTATAAGATCAGCAACCAGGAGGTCAACGTTGCAGCAAGTCACAAACTAGTACCACCTGACAGGATCTCAAGAAATATATATGGGCACAGACTCTCTCCAGATCCCACAATGTAACACCACAACAAGGAAAGAGTCATTCTACCCGAGGACCGTCAGGGATTGGAATGCCTTACCCTCCTCAGTTACATGTCAGCAGCCTTGAATCTTTCAAGAGGCCCCTGACTAACAAATAAATCAATAGCCCCTGTTTTTAATCACCACTGTTAAATATTTGTATAGCACCCTTTTTTTGTTATTGTATTTCAAAATTATTTGTGCACACACCCAAGAGTGACAGAATAGTCAACCTGATGACAGCGGTCAATAAACGGTAGAAGTTCAAGTAGGAGCAGAAAAACCCTTGCCAAAGTGGAGGTGTTTCTTGACGGGAAGCTTCAGATTTAAAGTCTCCAATCTCCATTCTGACCAGACATGGCTGTGTACAAGTACATCCCACTCAGCCAAACAAACACTCCACTTTGGCAAGCGTTTATCTGCTGGTCGGCAGAAGACCAACGTGACCATATTTCTATTCCCCAGTAACCCTTGGGAGCACGCTACGGCATATAGGTATTTTTTTGTCCCAGATAAACGTTCTTGTGCCTGTGGCTGTGTTAGGGGTTGCTAAAGAACAATAATATCATTTGGAACTCAAGATCTGTAAATTTTAATATTACCTCATCACAATATGGTTTTCATTTAACCTGAAGTCTTCTTAAACTGTAGGTTAGATAAATATAATCTTCTAGTAAGACATTTACAACAACAACAAATAAAATTTCAATTTGGCGCACTTTTCGGACTGTCTCTGAAACCTTTCGGAACATAGTAAGTAAGATGAGAACAAATGTCGGACAATATCCGGAAAAAGTTTTCGCTTTTCCTTGATTTTAATTCAATTTCAATCACAATACCTTATTTTGGATAAAGTTAGATTGATTACAACGTTACATAAAATGTATCCCATTATACGTTTAAAAGTCGAAATTTTGAGTTTTGAAAAGTCGAAATTTCAGGATTTTAAAAGTCGAAATTTTGAGTTTAAAGTCGAAATTTCGAGATTTAAAAAGTCGACATTTCGAGTTTGAAAAGTCGAAATTTTGAGTTTTGAAAAGTCAAAAATTTAGGATTTTAAAAGTCAAATCACAAGATAAAGTCAAAACTTCGAGATTTAAAACGTCGAAATTTTGAGTTTTGAAAAGTCAAAATTTCAGGATTTTAAAAGTCAAAATCACAAGATAAAGTCAAAATTTCGAGATTTAAAACGTCGAAATTTTGAGTTTAAGTCGAACTTTCAAGAATTTAAATGTCAAAATTTTGACTTTGAAAAAAAAGTTCAATGATATATTTTTTTCTATGTCCCTAATACGCTTCCGTAGATAACCTTGTTCTTTTCGAAAAGCACATAAAAAAATATTGGATGCGTCAACAGAAAAGTGCACGGAAGCCCATTTAGGACCTCCTAAAAATATATATTTGAATTCGAAATCACGAATTTAAATCGTTCAGTACGAGTTGAACAATTCGTTATAACAGATTACATTCGTGATAACGAATTTCCGGAATTAGTTATAACAGTTTTTGTAATTCGTAATAACGAATTAAATTCGTTATCACAATTTTTTTGTAATTCGAGATAACGGATCAAAATCGTAATAACGAATTTTATAAATCGTGATAACGAATTGTATAAATCGTAATAACGGATTGAATTCCTTATCACGAATTCGTAGAATTTGTTATCACATTTTTTTGGTAATTCGTGATTACGGATTAAACTCGTTATAATGAATTTCAAAATGGTTATAACGGATTTAATTCGTTATCACAAATTCGTTGAAATAGTTATAACGAATTTAATCCGTTATCACAAATTATGCAATTTGTTAAAACAAATTTTAAACCGTTATCACGAATTACAATAATCTGTGATAACGAGTTTAATCAGTAATCACGAATTACAAAAAAAACTGTAATAACAATTTACACAAATTCGTGAGAACGATTTTAATCCGTAATAACGAATTATAAAGTTCGTTATCACGGATTACAAAAAATTGTGATAACGAATTTAATCCGTTATTACGAATTACAAAAACTGTTATAACTGAATCCATAAATTCGTAATAACGAATTTAATCTGTGATTACGAATTCTAGAATTCGTGATAACGATTTAAATTCGTGATATCGAATTCAAATTATATTTTCTGGAGGTCCTAAATGGGCTTCCGTAAAAGAGAATACTATGGGCAAATATTCATAAATAGAGAAAATGGGGGATACATAATAGACAATAATGAGGTACTTAAATATGGGAAATAATGTATAAACAACAGACTAATACCAGACGAGGCTTTTCCTACAAACTATATATATTGGACTGTATGCACCACACACATCAGTTCGATAATACGCCAGATGATGGGCTGAACTATGATTGGAAGAAGTAGAAGAAGAAGAAGAACACGTGACAATTCTGCACGGGTCGTTGTCTGTATAGTCATGTTGTTTGTTAATTCCGAACTTGGGTGGTGGAGTCACGTATACAGCATAATGTTGTTTCTTTTGAACATATAAATCAAAACTAGTCTATATTCCGGCTGTTTAAAGCCATTCATACATGCGTTATTAAAATTTTGTCTTTGGCAAGTAAAATTATGAATTGCCAAAGACAAAATTTTAATATCACACATGAATGAATATTGTATTGCAGAAGGAAGGATAACGCTTCAGCAAAATAACATAAAATATGCAATAACAATAATGGCAGTAAACAGAGAACATCATAAGTAAAGTCATAGCAAGCACAGTCATAAAACAGCACTGCAATTATATTCGTCATCTATTATTATAATGACATTTACATTTAATTTTGTTGAATTTGTTCAGTTCGGATAGTTATATAAAGTATTGAAACTTGACAAGCCTTGTTTGGGTCTTGTTGCCATGCAAATAAACAGCTTATCACAGGAAAAGAACTATAAATCTGGATTGTTATTTCTAAACAATATTATGGTAAAAAGTAAAATAACAAAAATACCGAACTCCAAGGAAAATTCAAAACATAAGTCCCTTATCAAACGGCAAAATCAAAAGCTCAAACACACCAAACGAAGGGAAACAACTGTCATAATCCTGACTTGGTACAGGCATTACCTATGTAGAAAATGGTGGATTAAACCTGGTTTTAATGGTAGCTAAACCTCTCATTGACAATAATGTGTGAGCAAAACAAACAGACATAATAGGTAAAAAGGTCAAAAATAGTGGTACAACAGTCAACATTGTGTTATAACTTCAATCACTATAAAAACAAACTACTAGGTCAACAAAGAAAAATAAAATGGGATATAGACACTCTGCAGACAAAGGACATAAGCAAAAATGAAAGACTAGAATACAGAAATGACCATAGCACAATAATACAATGGCGGGGTGTATAAATACCGAGCCTCGCCAAAAGGATATTACCAAAAATGAACTAAACAGTATGGGTTAAAAATTTACAAAGACAAATAAAAAGAACGTTATAACACGTAATTAAGATGAAAAACACTGGTGACGTTTTATAAAGTCTGAGTAGCAGCTGCAAGTTCTTGATTACCGAATGAGTTGGGAAATGTATATCCCATATGCATGTAAATATGATATATTGCTGCAAAGGTGGGGGAAATTTATAATTCCAATATTAAAATCGTCTCGTTTGTCATGGATACTGGTACTGAGATGACCACTTATATCAAATTCGCGGTATAAGTCTAAAATGAGGCGGAGGAAGCCGTGTCTTTATATCTTTAATTTCTAGTTTAAAAGTCTGTCATCGCAATACTGAGATCTGTTTTTTTTTAAACCCGTCCATCGTCAATAATTTCATAGATAGAAGGAAAGATTTAATGATCTTTAGGACAAAAGGATTCAATTGTCTCGAGGGTATAATGATGCATTTGTCTCGAGGGTATAAGGATTCTTTCACCTCCAGAGTATAATAATTAAATTGTTAGCACATATTACTGGTACAAGGTTTACATCGTCTTACTGACTTGGTTTTGCATAGGTTTTCTGTTTTTGTTGGCAGCTCCGAATTTTAAAGTTCCCAGTTTGGGTGCAGTAACACTTATATACCAAACCCACCTGTTACAGATGATTCAATATTTGTCAAGCTATTATTCAATATTTGTCAAGCTATAATTCAATATTTGTCAAGCTATACTTCAAATATAATTTACTACCAGATCAATTTTAAACAAATCTAACACCAATCTATACAATCTATTAATCATTAAATGTCTTAACTATACAGCTTTATCAATTATAATATATTAATTTAACATGTGTTGTCATATACAATTTGTTAATATGATGCACTAAATACTTTTTCTGCATCATCAAAATCTTTTTTTACTCGGATGATCTTGAGGGAATCCGAAGTAATGCTATGGCAGTTTTTGAGTGTCCTTTTAAGCACCCATTACTGCGTCCATATGATACGCTGAAGCTATCGATAAACTGGACACCACTCCAACTCTTGTTGTTTCATTAATCGTCTTTAGACTTTTCACATTTTAATCTTCTGCAAAATCCAACTAAAACCAAAATTGGCAGGAATTTTCATATTTGAAGGTTCTTCAACAAATTACATTTTTTGGTGTTGATCTGAAATTTATAATGGTTGCAAGGGTCAAAAATCTATTCTGATTACCTGAAATTGCAAATAGACATTAGGAATTTCTTTTTGCATATTGTTTTTTTAATATTGTAAAAATGATCCATAGATAGCTTTAAACAAATTTTGAGTTTTTGTTGCCAATCCAAATTCAAGATGGCCACAACCACTGAACACATTTTAACATAGAACTATGAAAAATACATATACAAAGCTTCTTATCAGACATTAAAATCCAAATCGTGCAACTAGGATACCCCCGGTGTTCCTCTACTAATTTTGAGTTCTGGTGCCTCTCCGAAAACAAATATTGCCACTAGAGTGGAATAGTAATTTATCTAAGCTGTATTTGGCAAAATCCATACCACTACCCCCAAAAATGTAGCTTCTCCAAATTTTGAACATTATAAACAAATATTGAATAAAAACAGCTTCTCAAATTGCCCTAGACAAGTAAAATTGAAAAATTGAAAAATACAAAATCTATTTTTCTTTAATTCTTTTTTAACAAATAAGTCATTATATTAAAAATGATTCCGGAAATATTGACAAACTTGCATATTTTTAGTATTTAAAAAAAATAATGGCTCATTAAAGTAATAACCAGTTGTGGACGCATTCTGTATGATGAACCATTTAGATTGGACCTTATTATTTAAGGAAAATTATCAGATACACAATAATATAAATTGGAGATAAAATTTGTATTGTTGATTTTCCTAAATTTTGAACAAAAGTGAAATAAATGATAATAAGAAAATATATATATTATATAAATAAATTTCAACCTGATATTTTTTATGAGCATTCTCAAAGTTCAGCACTACTTTATGTAGGGAAAGGGTTTCTGTGGGTGAAAATATACCAGAGCTGCATCAGTTCATATCCCAGGTAAAGCACATGGGCCTTGGAGAGTTGTTTTATTCCCAGCGTTTTCATTGGATAGAGAGCATTTGATGTTCCTAAATAACAATCTTTAGCTGCTCTGTTATAAGATAGGACGGCAGCTGACTCAAGTGAAGTTCTTCAGCAGGTAATTTTACATTATTTTATGTCTGTAAATGGCAGTATAGAAATGTTTAAGCAAGTACAAAATTTCGGCAAATTTGGTTCTCTTTCAAACAAGTAAAATATGATGATCACTTGCTCAAAGTGCAAGTTGTTTAAAAAAAATCTAATGCCAAACCCTGCACAATGCTTGCTTCTTTTCTAAATAATCAAGATGACCATCACCGTGGAACACAGTTTAACATAGAACTCAAATGTGAAAGACAAAGAAATAGTCCAAAAACCACCAAGTGGGAGCACAACCAATACATAAACTCGGTGATGATAACACTGTCAAATATTCTAACACAAATTTAACAATTATACTATCCACACTGATCTGTGTCCACACTCGTCTATTATAAAAAATAAGTAGAGTAAAACAATTTTGTTTTTTGTGAACGAATTTTTTTTTCTTTCTATTCTGTTTTCGTTGTTTTGGATATATTTTGAAAACAGTATTGTTTGTAAGCATTAAACTATGTTTTGTGGGAAGCTGAGCTTTCCAAAATCCGACATTACTCCAGATTATAATGATTTGATCATTATAATTAAATGAAAAACCGATAGTAGCTGGATTAGATAAAATAAGTCCTTAGATCATTATCATTAGTTGTAATCTCGGTCCTGCCTTTTTTTCACTTTATTCGGTCCTGCCTTTTTTTTATGTTTATCCTGACTTTTTATACATAATTTGTCATCCTGCCTTTTTTTTTTGCCAAGTTGCTCATCTTGTCTTTTTTTTTACTCAAAACTTCTGTCCTGCCTTTTTTTTTATCAAATTTCATCCTAGCCCCCCAAAAAAATCAAATAGTAGCTCCCTAACTGCAAGTACTCTTACTACAGTGTCACTGGTAAGTGGAAGTTTGAGAGCTCACGCACATGTTTAACACCGTCAACATCAGCTCTGAAACCTGTAATCCAATGACTGTCGTTGGTTGCTGTCTAGCATATTTGTTTTTTATTCATTGTTGTAGTATTAATGAGGCCGTTTCTCTTTTAAATTGTTTCACATTTATACAGTATGGTTTATTTATAGTTGAAGGCCGTATTATGTAATTGTGCATATCTTTGTCCTAGGGGCTTTGTGGATAGATCTCTCATTGACAATTATACCATATATTTGTCCTAATGGCTTTGTGGATAGATCTCTCATTGACAATTATACCACATCTTTTTCCTAAGTTCTTTGTGGATAGATCTCTCATTGACAATTATACCATATCTTTGTCCTTACGGCTTTGTGGATGGACCATTCATTGACAATTATACCACATCTTTGTCCTCGGGGCTTTGTGGATAGATCTCTCATTGACAAGCATACCACATCTTTGGTCTAGGGGATTTATGGATAGATCTCTCATTGACAATAATACCTCATCTTTGTCCTAGGGGCTTTGTGGATAGATTTCTCATTGACAATTATACCACATCTTTGTCCTAAGGGCTTTGTGGATAGATCTATCATTGACAATTATACCACATCTTTAGCCTAGGGGCTTTGTTGATAGATCTCTCATTGACAATTATACCACATCTTTGGCCTAAGGACTTTGTGGATAGATCTCTCATTGGCAATCATACCACATCTTTGGCCTAGGGGCTTTGTGTATAGATCTCTCATTGACATTTATACCACATCTTTGTCCTAGAGGCTTTGTTGATAGATCTCTCATTGACAATTATACCACATCTTTGTCCTAGGGGCTTTGTGGATAGATCTCTCATTGACAATCATACCACAACTTTGTCCTAAGGTCTTTGTGGATAGATCTCTCATTGACAATAATACCACATCTTTGTCCTAGGGGCTTTGTGGATAGATTTCTCATTGACAATTATACCACATCTTTGTCCTAAGGGCTTTGTGGATAGATCTCTCATTGACAATTATGCCACATCTTTGTCCTAGGGGCTTTGTGGATAGATCTCTCATTGACAATCATACCACATCTTTGTCCTAAGGGCTTTGTGGATAGATCTCTCATTGACAATTATGCCACATCTTTGTCCTAGGGGCTTTGTGGATAGATCTCTCATTGACAATCATACCACATCTTTGTCCTAAGGTCTTTGTGGATAGATCTCTCATTGACAATAATACCACATCTTTGTCCTAGGGGCTTTGTGGATAGATTTCTCATTGACAATTATACCACATCTTTGTCCTAAGGGCTTTGTGGATAGATCTCTCATTGACAATTATGCCACATCTTTGTCCTAGGGGCTTTGTGGATAGATCTCTCATTGACAATCATACCACATCTTTGTCCTAAGGTCTTTGTGGATAGATCTCTCATTGACAATAATACCACATCTTTGTCCTAGGGGCTTTGTGGATAGATTTCCCATTGACAATTATACCACATCTTTGTCCTAAGGACTTTGTGGATACATCTCTCATTGACAATTATACCACATCTTTGGTCTCAGGACTTTGTGGATACATCTCTAATTGACATTTATACCACATCTTTGGCCTAGAGGCTTTGTGGATAGATCTCTCATTGACAATTATACCACATCTTTGTCTTAGAGGCTTTGTGGATAGATCTCTCATTGACAATTATACCATATCGTTGTCTTAGGGGCTTTGTGGATAGATCTTTCATGGACAATCATACCACATCTTTGTCCTAGGGGCTTTGTGGATAGATATCTCATTGACAATTAAACCACATCTTTGTCATACGGACTTTGTGGTCAGATCTCTCATTGGCAATCATACCACATCTTTAGCCTAGGGGCTGTGTGGATAGATCTCTCATTGATAATTATACAACATCTTTGTCCTAGGGGCTTTGTGGATAGATCTCTCATTGACAATTATACCACATCTTTGTCCTAAGTTCTTTGTGGATAGATCTCTCATTGACAATTATACCACGTCTTTGTCCCAGGGGCTTTGAGGATAGATATCTCATTGACAATTATACCACATCTTTTTATTTGTTTATCATATCATCAAGGCCAACAGTTGAGTAAAAATACAGGAATATATTTCATTAAAGTCATGTTCCCTATTATAATGTGAAATAAATTCAGGTCCTTCTCTCTATTTAGAATTAATAATGATTATGATAACACCGTTTAATTTGAACAAATCATTATATTATGTAAAGGCCTTTTCCATTAACACAACGTAATTTATAAATAAAGCTCATTGAGGGTATATTTTTTGTACAGTAATAGCAAAACACGACAATCACACAAATTATTAACAAAACTGGTTTAAATTTAATAACGAGGCAACCAGTTTACTGGAACAAGTATTTGGAACAAGTAAAGAACCGAAGTTACATATTATCACTGATTGTTTCCTAGATTTTACATAATACATTAAGTTTCCTCTAGATTTTACACTATACATTAAGTTTCTTCTAGATTTTACATTATACATTAAGTTTCCTCTAGATTTTACATTATACATTAAGTTTCCTCTAGATTTTACATTATACATTAAGTTTCCTCTAGATTTGACATTATACATTAAGTTTCCTCTAGATTTGACATTATACATTAAGTTTCCTCTAGATTTTACATAATACATTAAGTTTCCTCTAGATTTTACATTATACATTAAGTTTCCTCTAGATTTTACATTATACATTAAGTTTCCTCTAGATTTTACATTATACATTAAGTTTCCTCTAGATTTTACATTATACATTTTATTTTTACTTAATACTTTATTTTACTTAATACATGTACTTTAAATTGTATTACCATGAAAATCAAAAAAAAATTCTATTGAATTTCCACAAAATATAACTATTGTTTTTTTGTGGTACCACAGTCATGTTGTCAGAGTTTATATACTGCATTTATTTTTAATTCAAACTGAAAAGGATACTTCTATATACGTGGAAGTAATATGTTTTTCATAAATCAAGGTTTAACAATAAGGAAATATATATATTTTTTTTTTAGAAAATTAGGTAAAGTACAATATTTCTATTTTATGCAAACAATGTAATTCGATAACTATCGTCACCTTGAAAGTTGCTATTAATTTCAACTTTAGATTCTATATCTATTCTTTTACTTCATTACAGATTGATATTTAAATTAGGTATATTCTGTCCTTATTACACACGTTCTTAGATTTCATATAAACTGAAATATCTTTATTTTGTTTTGTATTTACACAGGTAGTAACGTCGACATATCGATGAGCGTTTAGTACAGTTGTTTTGTCATTGTTTTGTTAAGTTGGACATATGATTGTGTCAAGTGTTTTTATTGACACACAATGACACAATATAAACATATGGATTTTTTGCTAAAGGAACTTCTGAACATAAATTCAAGCCCGTAAGTATCTTTGTCAAAAGCTAATATGTTAGTACATTTAAATTTACATCATATAGTTAATAATTTGACACAGAATAATGCTTGTGTATGTCAAAATTTAAAAGTTGCTTATTCGTTTCTCATGCATAAAAGAGTGATTTGTTTACTGTCTGTTACATCACATATTTCGTTATAATATACAACCGCCTTCAAAATAACTACATTTGCACACAAATTAAGATTACTGAAAATATGGTGCCATGTTTTGGTTCAGTAGTGTCATGGTTTAGTTCATGTTCGACAAGGTTCAGTTCCGTGATTCCTGTCGTGTATGATGGAAGAGTAACGATCAAAATAAACAGGAGTTATGGTATGCTATTCAAAATTGATTCCGAAATATAACTGTTTGGAGGGGGCGTAAAATCATAATTTTTACTTAAAAAATCATCGTTTTGCTTGAATTTCAAAGAAAATGTGTATGTCTTCAAAGATGTAACTAGCCTTTTCAAATAGATTTTCGGTGTCATACATGGGTTAAACACTTATTTCTTTTTTATCACAAATTTGGAGAAACATTTATTCTTGTAAGTATTTCAACGAAAATTGATTTATATGTACCATACCATCCAAATTGACTCTATTTCAAAATTGTGGTAAAAACTTTAGGTTTGTTTTTAAAATAGACAAAGTTCGAGAAACATCGATTTCTGCTAGGATTTCAATGACAATCGATTTGTTGTAGGTATCCTTTGCTATTCCAACTAAATTCCCTGTGTCAAAAATTATAGGTTGACTACCATCAATGAAATGGCCTCCAAAATACATAGCACTTTGGTTCTAACAAAACTTTATATTCATTGAAAACACGTCCTGAATTAATGCCTGGTGTCCAAATTTACGAACATTGATACCCCATGAAAATTAATTGCTTTGTTTGCATCAGTACTTACCATGTGTTTCTGTGCCTCACAGATGTGTACAAGAAGGGCCTTGTTGGCATGTCAGTTTTCTAGTTTTCATTGTATTCAATATCTGTCCGGTTGTATTGTATATTTTTCTTTATCGCACCTCGGTTAAATTAGGGACTTTATGATTGGTTTTACGCCATCACGTGGTGAACCCCTGTGGTTCCATATGGGGTCAGTAGATTGGCCTCAACCCCTATGGATTATACTAACCCTCTATTGATCCGTACAGGGTCAGTAGCAAACCATATAACTCATAATATGCATTAAATATCTGTTCATTTCCATTTTTATAGTCTCGCCTGCGACGATAAATGCATTATTTTTTTTCGATTTTCAGTTATAGCCAAAGATGTATGCAAACATTTTCTAAAATCTGTGACATAGCCAATTTACCGTTACTTGACATTAAATGTTAAAACATTGTCTGCTTCCTTAAAAAAATATAATAAGTTTGTAATTAATCCGGCTTTTTAAGTCATCAACATTGACTAAGATTTGTTATGTACAAATTCATATCTATATTTACACCTGCCTATAGTTTTATAGCAAGTGAGAAAACTTGCAAATTAAAAGACACAAAAATAATGTTACATATTCCATACGAAAGAAAATGAATATAGGCATCCCTTATCATGAAAAATAAAAATATCCCATCTACCAGAAATGAAGATTGCCAAATATCAAATATCTCAATAATCAAGAGAGAGAAAATTATACATCCCTAAAACCCTCAACAAACCTATGGATTTTGCTCATTGTTGAAGACCGTACGGTGGCCTGTAGCTATTAGTATTAACTTCTATGTCATTCGGTCTCTGGTGGAGAGTTGTCTCATTGGCAATTATATCCCATCTTCTTATTTTCTTTTATTTATACTATCTGACAAACAAAAATCTTTTGATTATCTCCAGAAGATAACTAATATGAAAATTTAATAGAAATTGAAAGCCTTGAGGTATAAGAAAAGGTTTTATTGAATTTTTCTTTTTTTTTGGCTTTTATTACTATACGAAATATTAAAAAAAAGAATCAATTGGTCCCTTGTACCTATCTGTAAGACCCCCATTCCTAATGACGTTCTCTTTTTTTTTTTTATTTTATGAAAAGAAACAAGAGGGTCTTTTATACCAATCTGAAGGACTCCTGTACAATATTTCTAGATCTGTATTTCATTAAAGAGATTAAATCGTTTGTTTTTTAGCCGACACCAGGAAGTTTGGAATCGTATTAATACCTTACTTCAATAATGACACCTTTTAATGACTCCCCCTCAATTTCCTCCTCTATGTGTAACCTCATTCGAAATGTTAATGTTCAATAATATATCAGTTTGTGATAAGTTCAGTTTATGGGGAACCACTAGTTGTAGGTCAATGATATTTGGTATGCAGTTGTATTAGCATTGGCCCATCTCATTTCCCTCGAGATTATTTGCCTCGCCCCTCAGTCATGATCTATTGACTTTGAAACTTTTGCTTAGTTTACAAGTATTAGTTTGTGATTTATTTTAAGTCAGTTTATGAGGAACCACTAGTCGTAGGTCAATAATATTAGTATACAATTGTATAAGAATTAACACATTGTTGTTCAATCATCGAGTCTGGTATTTTTAGGTTGAAACAAAACTAATATAATTCGTTTGTTTCCTAGTTGTTGTTTTTACATTTTTGTTTGCATTAAAGTTATGTTCTGTTTGTTCTGAGAATTGTGCAAGGTCGTGTCTTTCTGTGTTGTTTATGAATTTGCTGTATCAATTTTAAAACGACTGTGAAGTACAGCAACCAATATTAGCGTATAACGACATGATTACTTTTAAGTATGTTGAGAATGAGAATGCTTTGAGAAACTGTGAGCCTACTTTAATATGGTATAATTAGGGGCCAGCTGAAGCCCGCCTCCGGGTGCGGGATTTTCTCACTGTGTTGAGGACCCATTGGTGGCCTTCGGCTGTTTTCTGCTCTTTGGTCGGGTTGTTGTCTCTTTGAAACATCCCCCATTTCCATTCTCAATTTTAACTTTTGTCATCAGTGCCATTATTATATGTACATTTCCTGCGATCCTTTATTCTTGGACATTTAAAAATGCTGGCCCCTAAACAAAAGTGTGTACTAGTTCAATGAAAATGGACGTCACACTAAACTCTAAAACATATAAATGAACTAAAATTAAAAAAACATACAAGACTAACAAAAGCCAGAGGCTCCTGACTTAGGACAGGCGCAAAATGCGGCGGGGTTAAACATGTTTTGTGAGATCCCAACCCTCCCTTATACTTCTAGCCAATGTAGAATAAACAAACACACAGCAATACGCACAGTAAAACTCAGTTTGAAAGAAGTCCGAGTCCGATGTCAGAATAGGTAACAAAAGAAACTAAGCAAAATGACAATTATACAAAAATCAACAAAGTTAGGAGGGATTGTGCTTGATTTTCTGGGTTCGTTTTTCTCAGTCTAATCTAGATTTATATTCGTGTCTGTGAACTCGTTCAATGAATTCCATAATATAAGACTGAAAAATGTTTGTGTGTGTGTGGATTGAGGTGACAAATTTCCGAAAGTGAAAATCAAAAAAAACTTTTCTATGTTCAAATAAACCAGAAGTTAGTCCGTTTTGCTCAGGCTCCTACGCCCCTGAGTTGTTTTTGTTTTTGCTCTTTATTCCAATTTCTGAATTCAACCAAACCAAACAATGTTTCCGGTAGACTTTGAATTTGCATTATTGAAGAAAGACAATAGATTGGCCTATGTATGTTAATCTTTTGTGTTATGTTGTTAACCCGTTCAGACTTTTTGCGATATTGAGAATTCAAAGTCTATCGGACACTTTGTATGGTTTGTTTGAATTTAGAAAAAGGAGTAAACATTCAAGTTATCCAGAATATCAAACCATGACTGATGATGGCAAACACGCTGGATAAATTAACTAATAAGAAAGATCATTAACGGATAGAAACGAACTACTCCGGTAAACATGAAATCATTAATATTGTAATGAAATATATCAATTTACTGTTATTAGATATTCTCCCTGAATACCTAATAACTAATATATCAGGGATACTAAGTGCAATGCTGTACAGTAAGTAAATTGTTAACAGCAATAGAGTGCAATAAAATATATAAGTCATGTTAAAAAAAGGAAATTAGGGTAAAGTGCTAAAATTGTAGGATAATTCATAATATACAGACAGAGGTATCGATCTCGTTATAGTTATAACATTAAACGGAACCAGTTATACTGCTCCAGATTCACACTTCGACTATTAGTGTCTTTTGAGAGTCTCTTTAGTGTAGCTCGAGGTCAAAATATTAGAAAAATCCTTAATTTTATAAAAACGTTGAAGAGCTGGTATAACCGAAAAGAACTAAAAGTTTAGGCAAAAGCGGTCTAGGATAAAATTCACCGACTCCTTTTGCTCTACGTACTCTAAAAATTTCAAAATTTTTACCATTTCACTGAAGCGATGTGTTTAATACTACAGTTCACGCTTTTTTTCTACCTTTTCCCTTAAGAGTTTGGAAATGGTTAACCTTTTCACTGAAATTAGGTCTAAACTACCAAAGTTTTAATATCCCTTTGATATGCTCTGCCTTTTCTCCGATCACATAAGTATATTTAATGTGGAGGTTTGCCAAAACCTGCATTACAACTCACTCGGTCCTTCTATGCAATAAATTCATTCAAAACGTTCAATTTGTCTACCCTTTACACCACCATACCACACGAAAAATTGAAATCCCTCTAAAAGAAATAATTCACGATGAATTTCTTACAATAAGGGTACCATACGCTACAAATATAGTTAATAATGAACTCGACGATAACACCTGCTACACCGGAAAACAAGTGATCAGTTTGCTGGAGTTTCTCGTTGACAGCATATTTTTTTAGAGGTAGCATTTTCTAGCAGGTTGCCGCCTCTCCTTGTTCTTACTATTAACGAATTAAACTTTTCTGATTGGGTGCCATTAATATTTACTCTTGAACTAGAGATTAAAGAATCAACAGAAACAGAACCCTCCTCCTCATTTCTAGACATAATTATACATC